TGCCATAATTTTATTAATTTTATTTTTATCCGTAAAAATTAAAAATTACTACTATTTATTAAATCTAAATATTTTTCATGGGTCTTACAGTTGCAGTATGTCAGGTTGGTCCAACCTTTTAAAAGAGTTTCAATTTTGTTCAAATATGGTAAAATTTACCTCAATCAAGTATCTTTCGTTAAATAGAAACTAACAAAGTTAAGCGTTTGATGATGTGGCAGAAGACAATTAAAACCTGATATTGTCTCGGAATATTGCTTCTGACGTGTAAATGAAATATATGGTGACATGGAAATAGGTTATAGAATTGGGAAAATTACATTAGGATTTTTTTAAGGAAATTACATTAGGGTTATTTTTGAAGGAAATATAATTAAGGCATTTGAGATAGAGGGTTCCTAAGTTCACGAAGAGAGAAAAATCGCAATTGAGGGTTTCGAAAGTAGAACCACATTTGAGGATTTCGAAGCGCATTTTCCATTCGAAGGTGCGTATTTGATTATTTTCGTTCTGTTTATGGTTGCTTTCATTGTGTGTATGATTGCTTTCATTGTGGTCCCCCATAAAATATGATTTCTTTTGGTTGTTGTCCCTCATTATGTCTGTTGTGATGCTCCATTTTCGTTGTGGTCCCACATTATGTTTGTTAAATTATTTATTTATGGTGTGTTTAGGGTTCCCTAGAATGTTATTTTACTTGTTTATGGTCCCCATAGTACTTTTTTGTTATCATTTTGTTTGTGGTTTACATTTAAATTAATATTTGGTGTTGAAAGGGTTTAATAGAAACTATGGAGTATATGTTCTGTATAGTGCAGATAGCATTTAGGGTAATCATATAGTAATATAGGAAATGGTTAGTGAAAACAATAGTGTGAAATATCGGTGTAGTTTAAAATCATAGCCACAAAGTTAAAGATAGCCAATTAGTGGACTTCTATTATCTGGCTTGGCAGTCCTACCCTGATGTTGCTAAAGTAAGTCATTCAGTTTGGCTGAGTGTTGTACCTTGATGGGTTGACAGTCCTACCCTAATATTTTTTATTTAATAGTTTTGTGCCCTGTTATAATAGTGTTTTTTGGTAAATTAAATGTAGTGTTATTTAGGTAAAGTAAATGTAGTCTGACAATAATTTTTATATTAGTTGAGATGGCTAACTCTGATATCGAAGTGGTCTTTCACCATGGGGTTAAATTTATCAATGATGGGTCATTCAAATATGTGTTTGGTCAAACCAATACTTTAAAAATTGACCAAGACAGATGGAGCTACTTTGAAATTATGTCCATTCTAAAGGAAATAGGTTATAAGAATGTTAAAGAGTTGTGGTATTCAGTGGGTGGTGGTTTTGTGTTAGAAGGAAGGTTGGAACTACTATTTGATGACAAAGGTGCATGTCATCTAGTCAACATTGCCATATTGAATGGTCAATCTCACCTCTATGTTGTACACATGGTGTCATAGCCTGAATATGTTCATATGTTGGAATATGAAGCTGAACTAAAAGTTGAGAGACATATTGTTGAAGCAAAAGTTGAGAGAGAGGATGGTGAACCCCAAGTTGAGATAGAGGTTGGTGAACCCGAAATTGAGAGAGACCAAGAGGAAGAGGTTGATGGTGCTGTTTTGGGGAGGGTGACAATGATATTGGTGTGGAGGGAAAGGATAAGGGAAAGGCTGATGGTGCTATTTTGGGGAAGGGTGACAATGCTATTGGTGTGGAGGCAGAGGGAGAGGGAGAGAATGATGAGGCTATTTTAGAGAAGGATGCAGAGGATGAGGGACATGATGAGTATGATGTTAGAAGTTGGAATGTGACTAAAGAGGATGTGTTGAGTGAAAATCATCTTGTGGAGGTGTTAAAAAGTGGACTTTAAGTCTAACTTAACCCCACAAAACTGGCTAGTAAGGTGAGGTTTTGCACCCACTTATATACTATAAATTGGCCTTATCTCTAATCAATGTGGGACTTCTAACATACCCTCCTCACGCCGAGGTGTAAACATCATCTCGAGCGTGAGACTAGACATTAATGGATGGTCTGATAACGGCCCGATAGAGGGTGAAACAACATGCCTAACAAACAAAAAATATCGCTAGGATAGACTCTAACCATAACTTTGATACCATGTTAATAAGTGGATTTTAAGCCTAACTCAACCCCACAAAATCAACTTGTAAGGTGAGGTTGGTGTATCAAAGCTATGGTTAAAGCCCATCCTAGCGATATTTGTTGTTTGTTGGACATATTGTTCCACCCGCTATTGGACCATCCGTTAATGTCTAGTCTTACGCTTGAAATGTATATACCTCGACGTGAGGGTGTGTGTTTGGATGTCCCACATTGACTAGAGATAAGACCAATTTAGAGTATATAAGTAGGTGCAAACCTCACCTTACAAGCCAATGTTTTGGGGTTTGAGTTAGACTTAAAATCCACTTATTTATAAGAGGTTAATGTCCATGGAGATGAAGTGGAAGATGATTTATGTGAAGGTAGTGAACAAGTTGAAGTAGGTGGATCAAGTGGATTTCTATTCCATTCCAACATGTACATGACATGGGTTTATCTGACACTGAATGAGAATATGAAAGTTTAGATAGTCTTGTATTAAGTGATTCATCAAATGATGATAAAGAACATTATGACAATTTTGGGATTTTCTCAATGCCCAAAAGTATGAAAGAATATAAATGAAAAGTGGAGACATACTTCACTGAAAAGAAAGATTTCACAGAAGCAATAAGAACCTAATGATGTAGAAAATGGTAGAAAATGGAAGGTATTTAAAAAATGACAAAATAAGAGTTTGTGTCAAAGGAAGGTATTCAAACACTTAACCCGTTAGTTTTTATTTAACGATCAAACTTTTTAAAAAAGTTTGATCAACTTGATACACTGCACTCAAATTAGAGACAATGAAAACAATTAAATCTTTTTTAAAATAAAGACTAATTTTAGTACATAAAAAAAATCGAAATTTCTTTTAAAAGATACAAACAAATTATTTAACCTTTAAAATTAAATCCAATAGTCTAGTAGAGTTTCACTGGCCCAAAGATAAAAAAGCTCACCTTTGTTTTAAAGAGGGCCCAATTATTAGATCCACCAGTTTAAATTTGTATGCTCAGTCTCTCATATTTCACAAAATCAGAATCAATCACTAACCCTAGTTGCCTGTTTTCCTTTTCACACCCAGTTTCCTTTTTCCTGTTTATCTATTCTTCTTTCTGCTGATTCTTGTTTTCTGTTTATTCTGTAACCTGTGTCTTTTCGGTTTCACGTTTTGCTTCTTTCATCGTCTTCATTTTGTGTGTGTATATATATATATATATATATCTTTTGATAAATGCGTGATATCTAAACAATAAACCTTTTATGTGAAGTGAAGTGATGTTCGGAGCAACTGGAATTTGCTGCACTTGTATTATATTAGTTTAATTAATTTAATAATAATACTTGTTGGAGGCTTCTCTTATATACGTTTTCATCTGTATAATTGTAACCTAAATCTAGAGTAAATTATTTGTTTTGTGGCCCAATGATGTTCAAATAGATCGTTGATCGGCTACACGATTTTGTTCATAATCTCCTGCATCTTTCTCTCTCTTCCTCTCTCTTCCTCTCTATCTATCTATCTATCAATTTCTTATTCTGTTTGTGTGTGTGTGACTAATGCAACCTGTACTATACTACTACATGATCTGGAAGATGTATGTTGATTGTCAACGAAACCAGTGGCAAAAGCCGTACATGATTTCGTATTAAGCTATGAGATCTGAGGGCTCTGAAATTTTTTACTTTAAATTCTGTATTTCAATATTTGTTTTCTTTTATATTTGGATTAGTTTATTGTTGGCTTTGCTTATTGTTTTTTCTTTGTTTGATGAATGCTGATGCATGCACTGGGCTCTGAGAAGTTTTAACCTCAACTTTTGATGAAAATGCACGGCCTTGAAAGCTATTTCTGATACCCACAATATTAAAAGAGTGATTCATTGGTAATTCATTTGTTCCTGTTTCATGTAGTTTTATTGCCTTCAATCCCAAATGTGTTATTATTTCCACAGCCGCAGCGTTTTTAATTTTTTTGTTTCTTTTTGTCTTTTAATATGTTCTTTTAGTATTATTTTCTAATTTATATGGATCTAACTGGCTGTTTTCTAATCTCTGTATCTTTCATGAAAACCTCAACTACCATTTGTCGGTGTTAACATGTGTTTTCTGCTGAAATTGTAAGTCCTTTGTGTGATATGATGCTCTTGGATCCATCTATTTGCCTTATCATCGCGCATAATCGTTGTTGAGAACTTCAAATTTATGAGAATCACGACTGAAAAGAAATCTGTCTGGAAAACAAGCATCTATTATTACACAGATATTTTTTTCTAAATAGCATACCGTATCTTATATTTACTCAGATAGCTCGAGGTGCTAGGTTAGAATTCGATTTTTGAAGAACCGAATTCTTAATATGGTTTTGTATTAGCTTAACACCAAAATCATGTGCAGAATTAGGTCCTCTGTAAACCAAATTCTGAACTAGCACAGTAAAAGTGTGCTATGTGAGTAAATGAAAGTTTCAGTGTGCTATATTGGTAAAAAGAAATTGACAGTGTGCTATTTGTGTGGAAAATTCGTAGAAGTTGACTATTGAGTAGCTTCATGGTTTGGTTCACAAGCTGATCTTCACCGCTCGCTTTTCTTCTGTTCCTTTCTGTGTATGTGTGTGTTAAGTGCTGTGTTTGTATTGGGAAGTTGGAAGAAGTTTGTGAATTGAACTACTGATAAAAGCTGTCAGTGATATTGTATTAAGCTATGGGTTTTGGGTTCTTTCTCTTGTGTTGATTCTAATCGGTTGCCTAAAGGGTCCTAATATGAAATCAATGTTTTCATAGTTAGGCAAAGAGCCCTCACTATTTCTTTATTGTGATCCTAGATTCGTGACTGTTGCCTTTATTTGTTAAGGTGGTTTGGCATTGCATCTGACCATGAAATCTTAGTTTGTATTTCTTTATTGTGAGGCATAACATTGTTTTCTGTTAGTATGACATTTCTGTTTTCGTGTGATGTTTCTTTTAAAGCAGTGCTCGTTACATTTTGTAAACTTTTTTCCTGGTTTTTTTCATTCAATGACTATCCCCTTCATCACTCCAATCTTCTTCAGGGCTTTTATTTCTTTTGTTTTAGTATTTTAAAACTTCAAATAGGTGATCCTCCTTTTACACAGTGAACTGTGAATAGGAAAGTCTACGGTATTTTTTGTAGTCTGTTAGTGCCCTGTGATGATTATATAGAATATTGAGTAGCACCTGGTTTCTTTATAACTGGACCTGTACCACTGGATCTCTCTCTCTCTCTCTCTCTCTCTCTCTCTCTCTCTCTCACTCACTCCCCGGCTCCCACACACTCTCATCTGACTGGGCTTGTGTGTGTGTATGTATATATATATATATATATGTATGTATTTTCATGGTGCAAGAAGGCTGTATATGAAACCAGTGTCAATT